AAACTTATAACTAACAACTATCCTAGTTGAGACTGGGGCCTCCCTCTCTGCAGCAGCAGAGCTGATAATTTCAAATGGTGGATGCTCAAAATCTGAAGAAATGGACACATAAACATAGTTGAAGTGGACACATAAACATAGTTGAAGGAGGTACGACATTTATTATATATATACACATAAAAAATTATTTTAACCTAACTACAAGGTGGCTCCGATCCGCCACCGCCTCTCTGGACAAAAGCTTTGTTAAACGCATAAATTGAACCAGAATTTAAAGTTTATAAATTCAAAATTTTAATTCTTTTAAGTTGTTGTGGACTTAAAATTAATAATATATAACATATTGAATGAATTTGAATTTAAACTAGAATTATTGAATTCAACCGAATCTGTAATCAACACATTGGCTCCGCCCCACACGACTCTACTCATTTGTTTGTATATATATATGTATGTACATTGTGTTTTCTTTCCATTGCCAAAAGAAAAAAAATTAGTCCATCACCATGGCTTTCCAAGTAGAACCAAAACTTCCCATAATTGAGTTCACAAATGAGACCTTGAGGAGTGGCACAACCTCATGGTTATCGACGTCTCGAGAAATCCGATGCGCGTTGGAAGAGTACGGTTGCTTTGCGGCAGTGTACAAGAAAGTCATGCCGGAGCTAAGGGAAGCCATGTTTGATCATTGCAAGGAGTTGTTTAAACTTCCCTTAGAAACTAAACTCAAAAATAATAGTGATATTTATGGTTTTGGTTATAGTGGGAAATTTAGCACTATGCCTCTAGCTGAATTTTTTGGTATCGTCAATGGAGAAACTATTGATGCAACTAAGGATTTTGCTAACAAGATGTGGCCAAATGACAACGTTCATAAATACTGGTAAATAATTTATGTCACACTTTTCGTTTTTTCAATTTTATATAAACTCTCATATTAATTTTTTAGAATGTAGAAGTACTTTTCGTCATGGTTATCATTTTAATTTATTTTTGTATACAATTTTTAGTATTTAAATTTAATTTTAAAATATTGAGTTAATTACTGATCTAACTCAATTCAGTTTTAAAAATTAGTTAAATTTGCTCTTGAGAAGCAAAAAGGCGCAATATAAATTGAAATTGAGGGAATTTTTTATTTTACCCCCTTAGGAGCTCTCAGCTTTTTTGCTTCTCAATGATTCGTATTAACATTTTAGAGTTGAAAGTGAGAGGTGTTTGTCATCCGAATAACCCTTCCTATCTCATGTATGTATATATATATATATATATATACACCCTTTTACTTTTAAGGAGTATCACAATATTTGGTAGGTCATGAATTATTATTTTATCAAATATACCCTTAGAACATGGTCTTTTATATTTAATTTTGTGTAGTAAAATAATTAACCTCTTTGAATAAATAATTATTTTATGTGATCTAAAATGATAAGTACTAAGAGAAATCAGTATTTTTTTATCGCGAAATCTAAATTGGTTCAAGAATTCTAGTTTAGGTCATTTGTATCATTGATCTATAATGGTTTGATTTGATTTAAGATTGTAATTGTTTCGTGTTTCAATATTAACTTTAGTGCTAATATTTTGCAGTGAAGAATCGATTTCATATTCAAAATTAATTGTTGAACTAGACGATACGATTATTCGTATGATATTGGAGTGTTATGGCATAGAGAAACATTATGAAGCTCTAAAAAATTCATGTATGTATTTGATGAGATTAATTAAATATCGAAGCCCAAAAAATGATGAAAAAAGTATAGGTCATTTACCTCATAGAGATAAATCATTTATGGGAATTATTGACACTAATCAAGTTGGAGGTTTGGAGATGCAAACAAGAGATGGCAGATGGATTACTTTTCATCCCTCTTCTTATAAGACTCTTGTAATCATAGCTGGTGAGCCGTTCACGGTAAGAATTACTTACGGTTTCTATTTACACAATAATTAAGAAATTATTAATAGATTGATAAGTTTTACTATTTTATCTTTGTTTATATTAATTAGTCTCTTAGAAAAAAAAGAATCTTACATCTTAGAAAATTGTATAAACTTGGTCGTGTTAAATTGCAAGGGTAAAATAGGAGAGGATTAATTTATATTATCCTGATTTAACCAGAGATCAAATACTCATCTAATATGGAACAGAGGAAGTACCAATTTAAGGGACTATTTTGAACTTATCCTCAAGTATAAGGGACCATTTCTGTAAAAAAAAATATTAAAAAGTTTGATAAAAGCCCACAATGCCGAGCTCGAGTGGCAAAAGGTGAGAGATTTGTGACTTAGGTCGCTGGGTCAAGGCCCACACCAAGCAAATCGAAGCCCGTAATTTAAGTGGGAAAAGGTAGAGGGATAGACCCATTGTCCACTGAGTTTAGAAGGTTGTTATTGCTTTAAAGGACGGGTCGCAAACTGATTCCTCGATTATAAAAAAAAAATTGATAAAAAGGAGGAAAATACAATCTTCCATGAATCTAATAACTTTGGCTAGGTTCTCGTTGATGTGTTAAAATTCGTGTATAAATATTAAATTTCAAATCTAGTAATTGAGATGTTTAGTTCTAAAAATAACTTCAATTATGAGTAGAAGTCATTTTCTTTTCTTTAAGAGTTATCTTTCACTAATTTTTAACTTCATGTTATTTGTTTCAACTAGCAATTAGATATAATTATTATTGATTCTTATCTCTCAAATTATTCATATCAAAACACACTCAATCTTCTATTATTAGTAGTGCTATTATTGCTACTTCTTCCATCCCAAAAATATTGTCTTAATAATTACTATTTGGATAATCAAATGATATTTTCTTTAATTATAATTATTTCATATACTTTCAGCTTTCTAAATATTTTAAAGTGATAACTATGGTAACGTAAGTACTTCTAAAATAGTTCCTAAATGTTAAATTTTATTTTTAAAGAATTAAAGATTCCATATTTAAATTCACATCAAATATTAGTTAGTTTGACCCTCGTATTCTGAATCAGGACTCTCTTTTGGAACAAAAGGAATATTATTAATCCTTTAGCATATTTAACTATACCCTCCGTCCTTATTTATATGGACACACTTTACTTTTTAGTTTGTCCCACGAAAAATGATACCCTTGTGTACCATTGGAAACAACTCAAGTTTGTCTTTAATTAATGATATGGTTTATAGCAACAAAACGTCATAAAATTGTTTTAGACTACAAATTTCACAAGTCTTTCATTTTTTCTTAGGCGTTGTGCCTAGTGAAACAATGTCGCTTTTCTATAATCACAAACAACTTTAACTTTAAATTTTAGTCTATAACAAAAGAAACTGTCTAGGATTTGTTTTAGACCAAAAAACCTCCTTTTCTTCCTTATACTTTGTGTTTGGTAAAATAATGTCTCGTAAATTGAGACGAAGAGACTGCTTATAATTTTGCGTGATGATAGGCATGGAGCAATGGTAGGGTATATGCACCAATCCACAGAGTGATTATGAAAGGAGATGAAGATAAGTATTCACTAGCATTGTTCTCTTTTATGAGAGGGACTCTTGAAGTACCAGAGGAGTTAATTGATGAAGAGAATCCAAAGCAATTTAAGTCATTTAATAACTTCCAATATCTCAAATATTGTGGAACACATGGCTACAAAGAGAAAGATCCCTTAAAAGCTTTTTGTGGTGTTTGAAAATATTTATGATCTATGTTATGTATTTTCCTTCATTATATATTGTTCTTTGTAATTTCATGTTGCTTGTTTTTATCATTTCTACTTTTATCTTTATGTTGAATTAAATAAAAGTTGTAAAAGGTTGAGTCATCTGTGTTTTTATTCGTATTTCCTACCAAAGCAAGAAGCTATACTCTTTTTTGTTTTATTTTTTGTTAATCGTGGTGTCTGGACCAATTTTCACGTATCCTTTGTGGACTAATTTTTGCACACCCAATGAATACGTGTCATCTTTCACTAGCAATAGCAATAGATATTAGAGAACTTTGTTCACCAAGGCAAGTGCATATGAAAAAAATCACCTAGTGATTTTTTGTCTTCGTTACATTTCGAGTCTGAGATCTCAAAACTCTCCACCACTTTATTTACTAGATCACACCCTTTGGTACAAGCAAGAATTTATAATCAAGGGACAAATTGCATTAACACTGGCATGGCTAAACTTGCTAACATCTTCATCAGTAATGTTCTAGGATTTAAGTTTATACGTAGTGTTGACGTCCCGAATGAAATCTCACAGGTGGAATTATGAATAAGAAAACAAAGCAACTAACAAGGTAAGCAATGCAAACAAATCATAGAAACTAACAAGTCCTACTAGAAAGAAACAAGAGTGTGACTTGTAACACAATAAACAACCGACAATGATAAATTTCCTCTAGTATAACAACAAACACCAACAAAACTGAACCCTTAAAAAGCAAGACAACATTTCATTGTCTGCTAAACTTCTACCCCAATGGCATCCTCCTCTAATCGAAGGGCATATCCTTGTCATCTATGTCCTCCAATCTGAGGTCATATCCTTGATAACTTTAAAGTTGTGTTATGTCTTGCCTAATCATCTTTCGAATACTTCTTCCACCTACCTCTACCCATACCAATTGTAACCAAGTTTTAGCCCCTCCTTAGTGACTATGCATCTCTTATCTCGATCAATCACGAAAGCCACTACCACCTTACCCCAAATATCCTCATTCATAATCTTATTGCCCCTTTGTATGTCCACATACAACCACCTCAACATCTTCAATTCAAAATGAACCAAAGCAATTGAATTGACCATGACATATAAACATAAAACAAACTTGCTATCAAAAAATAAAAAATTTAATTCAACCTGGTAATTTAATACATACAAAAACATAAAACTGAATCTCGTAAACCAGGGAACAAACAAGGAGAGCAGCACAACATATTTTGGGAAGAAACTAGTATGAATTACAACTAACACGACAAGATACTAACCATCAAATATAGTTCAAAGAGGACACACGCTGTACACTGAAAATTTCCTATGTGGTTGCCCCCCAACACTGGAATAGAAAGTAATATTATTAGCAAGAACGATTACTAATTCCACCATTGTACCAAACAAGAAACAAATCAATGTCTTAATAGAAAATTTATCACCCAACACCTGAGTAAGCTATGCTCTCTCCTGACTGAAACAGAAAATTCCAAACCTTAAAAAGCATCTACTAATAACAACAGTAATTAGAGCTGCAAATGGAAAACTCATAACGACCCGACGACAGTACATTTAGAAGAGAAACGTTTTATATATACTAGAAAGCAGCTGCACAACTTCTGAACCCTTCACCAGTATCTTCTTTTAATCATTTGCCAATGCCGAGAAACCATGCCACAAGAACCTGAGTTTAAAATATATGACAAAAAGAACTTATCACTCATATTTTTAGATATAAACAGTACCTAAAGTATGAAGTTATGAGATTTGTAATGCTACCACATATTTAAACAGATAACAACCACCTGTCAAGCTGCTGAGTATCTTCCAAAGTGAAGCAGCATGAGCAGGCAATTGTCAAGCAAACCTGGGATCATAAAATCCAGAATCAGAATGGTATAACCGGTTATAGGTTCAAACAAATGAGAATCTGAAGTTCTAAGAGTTAATGTGAAGTAAAGTAATCTTGATAGGCTAGATAAAAAAATTGTTGCATGAATTTTGTTTAGTTTGATGTTTCCCCTTGATGCCCAAAAGAGTACCTTCTCTATTTAATAAATATTTTTTCTTGCTTACGTTGTTTTTGGAGGAGGATAAGGAGATTTCGACCTCAGTTGTTTGCACTTTTAATGGAGTCTGAATCTGAATTTCAGATATTAGACCATTAAGTGCATTTGTTTTAATTAAGATTTAAGGATTTAATTGGACTTTATTATTTAGATCCAGAACAAAATCTTAATGTCATTAAGAAGTATTCTTCTATAGATAATATTTACCATCGCTCTATCTATGATAACCAGCCACCATCACTAACCACCTATGCCATTACAACCACAACCATTGTAGACCACCATTATTGTCGTCTACAACCAACCGTTGCTAACCATTACCGTCTGTTGCAAGCACACTTACCTCCATTATAATAATTATATTCATTGATGTCACCACCTCTACCATGACTACCAACCAATATCACCACTACAGTCAATTCCTTCTACTTAACAAACTTTGGCATCACAACTAGCATTGTTGTCAACTACCACCACAAATTCGTCATTCACCTCCACCACTACAATCAGACACTACCACCACTGTCAACTACCACAAACACATCATCAACCACCACACGTTGTTCCACCATCAACACCACCAACTACTAACATCAACCAACTTCATCATTCAACCACCACCAATCGCCACCACTGTGACAATAACCACAACAGCAACCACCTCCACCCTCACAACTATAATCACCATCATTACTAGCCATTAACAATTATTTGTCTATTATCATCATCACCACTACTGCAACCTATCTCCATCATCAGTCGCAATCAAGGTGTTTCATTCTTATTTTCTTAATCAAATAATGATTTTATTTTATTAATTTTTAAATATATAATTAATTTTTATTTGAATTGTATATTTATTATGTACATTCAAATGTTGAAAAACAAATTGTTTTAGTCATTCAGTAGTCAAATCTAGAGACAATATCTTATCATTATGCATTCAGATTCAAACATCTAAATCTTAATGATAACAAATGAGATCTTACAGTAGTAATTCATACCCTTTAAAATTTTATCAAAGGCAACAATGCACGCCCTTTAAGGATGATATTTTCTGGAAATTTCAAAATACTGGATAATTTGGCAAAGAAAAAGAAAATTAATCAGATTGAAGTCTGGGAGCAAAATCATTAACTAAAGCACACCTAATACATGAGATGTCCCCATGCTCCAGTCAACATTTTTGGAGAAAACGAAGGGCCACAGAGAAGGCTGCAGCACCACAAACTTCTTTAAGAGATTCGCAACATGCAACTAGAGATGGAATATTCAACTGTAGATTTTGACCTTAATTTGCTTATTTCAAACTGCTTCAACCAGCGTACCATCTCATTGGTCAAACTTCATTTCTGTATATCTGCACAGAAGATGAGATCAAAGGAACTCAACATTCTAAATGAAGCCAATTGAAAACAGCAGTTTGGAAAAGAAATTTAAAATATGGTCTCATTTCAGCAATATAAATTATAGCTTGCCTGCGAGGATTCTTCTGTCGCAGTCTGAAGTCATCATTTGTGAACTCTGGTAATGAGATAAGGGCACACAAGATCAATAATTTACAGGAAGGTTTCATAACACAACAACAACATCATACCAAGTGAATCCCATAAAATGGGGTCTGGGGAGGGTAGATTGTACGCTAACCTTACCAATACCTTGTGGAGGTAGAGAGGCTGTTTCTGAATACAAGTTACATATTCACAGGCTTCGTAGAAATATTAATTGAGCAAAGTAACAGACAAGGGTCGGTATATCTTACCAGGCGGGCTCTGTTGGGGCTTCAGTTCACTATTTTGTTTACTTGTCTTATTCTCTTTGCTGCAAACAGGAAGTAATGTTATGTTTCTTTACAATTTAGTAGGTCTATAATCAAACACTGCTTCGAACATCTATAGCTACAACACTTCAAAAAACCAAGCAATCACTCTAAAAATGTAGATTTATTTTTAAAACAGGTTGGCTATTAAATAGAGATGCTGAATCATATACAGATTTAACTATCATCAGGAAAGCATGGCACAAGAACTCTTTTTAAGATAGCACACTCTTAACATGAAAGATCCACTCCGATTTTCAAAAGGTACCAAAACGGATGATAGACCCGTCCAATACTTAGAATTGCAATCACAGATTATCCAATTTCTTTTGGGTGCACAAGAACAAGCTTGGACTCAAAAGTAAATGCTCTGATTCGGTCACCTTGTCCCGACTCCTTGTATTCTCATGTGAAATTTAATGCAAAAATTCATGATAAAAGCCAAAGTTGTGTTATATACTGAAAACAAGTTACTGATGAATATGAGCAAAACAACACGAGAAAATGCAAGAGAACAAAAATAACATGTACATGCTAGTAGAAAGAGAAACAACGAAATCAAAATATCATAACAATCTGCAAAGAATTCTACTGACATTGGAGCAGCACCGAGAGATGATATCTGCCCACTAGGGAGAGGATGGTAAGCACCATCCGCAGTAACATATGGTGAACAGTATTGTGTGCCTAGTGCTCCAGCAGCACCAGCTAAAACTGGCAACCTGAAAAATTCAAACCAATATTTATCTAGTGACACCGAGTTATTCAAACTATAAATCCATATCTAACATCAAAAGAGAGCAGGAATTTTATTATATCCAAGAATTCAGAGAAAAAGATCCTACACACCCCACAGCTGTCAATCCATCCCCTCAAACTGTGAAGCATGACAATAAAGAACCTACGCAATAAAATGTCCATGCACTACACGGCAAATTCTTCTCTTGTTATTACAACTACAATTATATTTTATTCATTTTTTTTATTTTTTTTTTTGGGGGGGGGGGGGGGGGGGGGGGTTTACATTTTGGTTAGCATCAGATTAGGTAAAGATAACCTCACCATGTCATTTCGGAATTGCCCGGTTGACCAACATATCCAGGGAAGGCCATGCCAACAGCAGGAACTCCAACGCCACCTGGGTGCTGGCCTCCAAATTGCACGACTGCAAATCCCATTACAGAAAAAAAATGTCTCGTTAAAAGTACAAATATCACTCTACTTACCAAACAGAAATGATACGATTACCAGTTTATAACACTTACTGGACACTTGATATTACTAGAGCATAACTTATGGAAGAGAAAACCTAGCTACTAAACAGAACAAGAAAAAGCATACAGAAATAACATGCTGCATAAACCACTCCTAGAGAAAAATGTAACTTTAAAGAAGCTTGCCTAAACAAGATCACTACTGAACAAGTATACTTAAAAGTCTGTTTCGGAACAAGACCCATATTTTTCGATCTTTTGGTATATCTCGAGTACAGAACCTAAATGATGGATGAAAAAACAAAAACTAACCAAATAGCATGGACAATTGAAGTTGACAAAATCTACATATAAGTAAACTACATACTTCCATTAACGGGACAAAGCTTAATGGTTATATAGCGCAGTTATTAAGTGCGCTATATGAGGAAAATAAAGCCGGTCCTTCAACACTTGCGTTTTTTTGTCTGGTTTAAGTTCTTATGTTATTTTCTTAATTATTTATTGTTTATTATTTGTTAGTTTAATTGGTTATTCTTTTGTTTAATTGTTATATCCAAAGCATGCATGTAATTAGCTAATTTCTTTTTTAAGTGTGTTAATTAGTTAGTTGATTTAACTATTAATGTGTAACTTAGCTATTTAATGCTATTGTTGATCTGTTAGATTCGTTAATGTTTATTTGTTAGATAAGTTATTATCAATATAGTTAAATACTTAATTAGTTAAACCCTAATTTTTTTCAAGACCAAAAACCCTAATTCTATTAGTATATACATACATCTCTTCAAAGTTCATTCTGTTAGTGTTTTAGGTCTTGCAGACAATACCTAGATCCTATTTTTTTTTAGAAGTTACATTTTTTCAAGACCTAAACTCTAATTCTATTAGTACGTACATTTTTCATGTTCATTTTGTTGGTGTTTGAGGTTTTCAAGTTGCGACACGTAAACCTTAATTTATTAGAAGCTACATTTTTACAAGATCTAAACCTACGTACATTTTTTTCAAAACCTAAATCTTAATTCTATTGGTACATACATTTTTTCAAGACCTAAACCCTAATTTTGTTTCTCAAGTTCATTTGATTTGTATTCATTTATCAAACACTTTTTCTCAACTATTTCTTGTTAGTATGGTTCATACCTTTTATGGTTCAACCCTAATTAAACATTAATTAATTAATAATTTTCTTAACTAATTCACAGTTACAATGTATCATATGCAAAACAGATTAAATAAATGATCTTCAACTTAAATTAGTAAACTAATTAACAATCTTTTAACTATTAAGTATTTAGACATATTGATTTTAAATATATCTAACAAATTAACATGAACTAATTACTAATCTAATAAACTAACATTAATATTAAATAGCTAAATAACACATTTAGTAATTAAACCAACTAACTAATTAACACATCAAAAGAAATTAGCTAATTAACATGCATGCTTTAGAAATAATAACTAAACAAAAGAATAAGCAAGTAATCTAAGAAAGAATAAACAAGTAACAAACAAGAAATAATTAATAAGAAATGTTAAAGGGCAAGTTTCATTTTCCTCATATAGCGCACTTATTTAGTGCGCTGTGCGCTATACAAGTCCATTGACCATAATGGCCGTTAAGCCTGGTCTGTTAATGGAACTTGTATAGCACACCAAATAAGTGCACTATATGTAGATATTGTCAACTTAGTTTGGTCACTTTTAAATTTTCATCCATCATTTAGGTTCCAAACTAGTATATAATGATGCAGGCTATAAAAGGGCTACCTGGAAGAAAGGTTGGAGTCCCAGAAAACTTCTGATTACTGTGACCACTACCCATGTTTCCAGGTGCACCTACAATGTGAGCCCCATATCCCCTTCCAGGACCCTGAAGACTGCCTTTCCCTTTTGCAACCACGGAACTCGTTAATTTATTGGACTCTGAAGTAAATGCAAGCTCTCCAGGTTCACAAGTATTCATAACTTGTGCTGTTTTGGGGGGAGATGAAACTTGAGATCCAGCACCCGTTTGCTGTACTAACTGCTGACCAGTTACTTGCAGAAAAGGTTGTCCTCGACTTTGAGCAGAATATCGTTGTGCAGGGTGGAGCTGGGTTGGCAGAGAAACACTATTGACTTGATTATTGCGCACAGGCGATTGATAATTCCTATGTGGTGATGCATTAAATCCTCTTCCTTGGCCTCTCGATGCCTGGGGATGAGTAGACTTCATTGATGAAGACAACCCCGGTGACAACTGCAAACTGGATGAAGGCTTCCCAGCAACTGCAGGAATAGAATCATCAATATTAAGCTTGTTTATGCCAAACGAATCATTCGGATCCTTCCGGATTATTGCAGTTGATTGTGCAGAAGCAGCACGTTCGCCCAAAAGAGAAGGCTGAACACTGTGATTACTTGTCTCAGTTTGCATTTCCCTCTTGTGTGTTATTGTAGTCTCTTTACTGGAAGAGCTAGAGGGATAAAATGGAGGAGAAGCATAATTCAATCTTGACATAGACCTTTGATTTGCAGCTGTAACAGCATCTTTTTCTAAATCTGATACAGAAGCAGATGCTTCATTTGTGCTATAACGTGAAGGTTTGTCAACGGACTGACCAGATCTGAAAATTAGATTTGACAAGAAGAATTGAAAAAGATCCTTCACAAGGAAAAAATGAGAATAATAGTTGAATTGAAACTTACTGCTTGTTTGGTGGAGGAGGTGCGTCAGCGTTATCCTTAAAAGATTGTCTGTACCTCCTTGGTCCCCGACCTCTGATAGCTTTTGAAGGATTACTCTGAATGTTCTGGTTATTATCCTTAGTCTGATCATTACCATTGATGTACGCTCTGGGTTTTCTTCCTTGTGAAGCTCCACTATCAACCCCTCGCATCCTACCACGACCTCGATAGCGACCCCTTGATATTCTCCTATCCTGAGAATTTTACAAAATCTTGTGAGCAAATGACTAGCAGACAGGAAAAATATAATGCTAGAATGAATAGCAAATAAATCAAAGCAGTCACATCGTCGTAATTCCTCTGCTCCACAGTCAACTCTTCAAACTTGTCATGGCCCCATTTACGATCATCTTTTGATTCCCATAACCTTCTTCCGCCAGACATTCGTCTAAACAAAATATTTTTTTCATAATTAGTTGCCTAAATAATATGATTATATGAGACAATGACATAAAACTAGTGATAATAAATGAAGGCTTACAAATGGTAAAATGTTGTAGTAAATCATAATTACAACCTACAACATTCAGCACAACTACGACGTGAACAGGATGGGTTTTGGGGGAAAGATAAGAAGCATTAAAGATAAGAAGCATTATCAATTTCACTAATATGTGCAAGCAATTAAGGAAACATATTTTGTTTAAATTACTGACTGCACTTCCCTTTCAGGGTATTTCTCATCCTTCAATGATTAATTCATACAAGAGGCTGCATAGTCAAGGAACCCAAAAATCACTATATTTCTAAGTCTTTGTTTCAAAGCAAAATGAATCAGTTAAAACTCCCTCCGGACCAAAACAATTGATGTTTAGGTTTGGGCACATGGATTAAGAAATCCACTTACTCCTAAAACTAAGAGGCCTTATTTGTAAAATACTCTTAGTTATGATAGTCTTTTCTTTTTAGATTCACATAATTATCATTGGGGTTAAGAATGTGTCAAGGATACATTTGGGAAAAGGAATTAAATACCTTCTAGGTTTTGACTTTTGTGAAACATCAGTTATTTCTAAACTGGAGGGCGTAACAAAAGTGTGGAGGTTTATCTTTACATAGGAAACACACATAAAGCACATTGTTATGCATAGCCAGCTGCAGTGTTAAACCAGATGATCCTCTTTAAGCCTTTTCAAGGAGGTTTTTCTCGACTGTTGCGGTTTGGATCAGGAAACCACAAAGGGAGCAAAGGAAAAGCAACCAGACTTGGAACTTGGATGCGATCAAGAAGATAGTTAGCTTGTGTTTTCGAAACTCCCAATCTTCTAGCTTGTGTTTTCGAGAACTTCCACCAGAAGATTGTCTTTCAACTTTTATGGGAAAATCAGACACAGACTCAAGTCTCAAAGTATAGTTATCCTTTATACAGGAAATCATTAGATATCCCAATCCATGCTGTGTAGGGCACGACACAACCCCTATCAGCAGAGGTTTAACTAATATCTTTGCAAAATCAGACACTTAATCAAGGTGTAGGTGTCCAAAATAATAACACCGGCAATGGTGACCTAACTACTTTGGAATTTTGGCAAGTTGATAGGTTAATATCACTAAATCAACAGTAAAACACCTTCCACATATACCACAAACACTAATGTACTCTCTCTATCTAAATTCAAAAATTCATAATAAACTAAACTAACATAATTAAAGTGAAACTTACTTCTGTCGCCCGCCTACATTGTCTCCAAACCTATCATCGTGCATATAAAAAGCTCCAGTCTTGGGCACAGCATAGGGTTCATTTTCTTTTTTCTCTTCTTCCTGCGGCAAATCATGTTCATCTCTATCAACAACCCCTGGAGTAGAACCTCCTCCTTGCTCAACAACTTCCTTCACTCCCTCAGCCGCTTCCTCAACCACAGCCTCAACTTCCCCGTACAATTCTTCTTCCTCCTCCTCCTCCTCTACATACTCCTCATCATCCTCGTACACCGCCGCAGCACCTTGCCCCTCCGACTCATCATCAGAATCAATACTCCTTAAGGGCTTTTCTGTTTTTCCACTTTCTCCACCTCCGTCCTCATCATCACTTGCCTCTCTCCGCCTCATCTTCAACGACAGCATCGCTTCCTCCGGATCGCTCTCGTAATCAACATCTTCCCCTCCTGTTCCTGTTCCCGTTCCCGTCATCGCAAACAAACAAATCAAAATCAAACTCCAGCAGCACTTTACACTAACACCATTTTCAAAAACAAATCTTTATCAGCAATTGAATCCAAAACCAAAACACTGAATCGAAAATAGAGCAGAATTTGAAGGAAAATTGAGGTTTTTGGGGCTCTGCGTAGTGAATTTGGAGTCTAAAAATTGTAGGGTTAGGTTAAAGTTTTGAAAAAAAAGATTGGGTTTTTTTTGGATAAAAACTGGGGTTATGGGGTGAGACTACTGATGTCACTCGCCAGTCGTCAGCTAACTCTTAAGATTTTCAACATTTGGACCCTAACGTTTCACTTGCACAGTCCGCGATTCAAATTCAATTGGGATTTCAATTTCGAATCTCAAATAAAAAATAAAAAGAAATTAACATTTGGTTCACTTTATTGTTGTTATTTTGAATTTTAATTATTAATTTTTTCACAAAAAAATACTCTTGGAATATGATGCAATGAAATAGTCATATTTATATGAATCCGTTTGTACACACCAATTCTAATAAGTATATCGAATAACATGACATATAAAGAAATATTCTATCATTCATATATTAACGTAGTATCATTTTTCGTTATAATATCAACTAAATTATTTTACATGTAAGAATATAAGATTGTCATCACTTCATTCAAGATCATATCTCATCAAAGCATAAATCAAATACATCATCAATTAAAAAAAAAAAAAAAGGGATGTTCTCATGATCATATAAGAATTTCATATGCTCACAGAAGGAATATATAAAGTATATAAAAAATTCATACGAGACAGTTATCATCAAGTGTATGAAATTTTTAAATTAATGTTAAGCACGTAATTAATTAACACAATAATCACTTAAACATAATCAAAGTGTGTTTCAGAGTATGAATAATGTCAAATAATCATAAAAGTTATTACATAATTGAACAAGTATCCAAACTTGACACTTGATACTAGGGTAGTGCTTATCACCTCACATATGGTATCACACATCTTTTATTTCAACAATTATTATAATTTAATTATGAAGATATTTCTTGGATCAGTAGTATAACAAAATCACAAAAATATTTTGCCTTATTCAGCGTTCCTATGTAATTAAATATGAGTTCTACGTGAATATGCATAACTATAGATACCCATAATGATGAAAATTATGAGGTTAAAAAGTCAACTTCAAACCTTTGAGGTTAAATATGAAATTTATTTCAAAATTGAGTTAATTTCTCTCATAACCAATCACATTAATTTCCATCTTTTCTTCTTTTAAATATGAGATCAAAATCTCTAATTTGCAACGTTGTTCATGAATTAAATTGCTACAAAAAACATAAGTCATGAATAATCATTAAAATGAAGATTAGGATATCCTACCAATATGATGAATCATGGAAGTTCTTCCAAAAAATAAAATTTTTGATTATGTCCTTTTTTTTCACCCAAATCTCACTTCGCCTGATCATTTGAACTATGGGAATCTTGTCCCATGGGACTGCAATGCTCAGTCACCCCATCATCACTTTTTAGTTACGATATCTTAGCTCACGACTACGAAAGGTGATTCCTTGCGTCATAAACTACATAATTAGAAGAGTTCTATTTCTCAAGAGGAGTAAAGAAGGATTGATTAAACCCTTTTTATTTTGTTCTTTGTTTGTGATGCATGGTACACACTTAACTTATCTTAATCTCTTTGAAATGATTATCTCAAGCACCCAATTTTGTTGTATTGTTTGGTAGAGTATCTATTATAGTATCTTTTAACTTTAAATCTAATTAATTAAACACTAACTAAAGAGCAAAGACTCAAAGTCATTTAGTCACCAAAGAGGTAGAACCTAGGTTTTATATATATATATACATATATATATATATATATATATATAAAACATATTATTAATTTATAAAATATATATAGATAGACATAAGGTTATCGATTTGGTTCGAGAATAATTAGATTTTTTTCATGAATTAAAAAAATATTCCAATTGTCCAAAACGGTTATACACCTAAATAAAAATCTACAATTTTATTGAAAAAAATGACATAAATCAATTTGGATCAGTCAATTCGATTGATTTTACATATTCTTTTGAAACTCTTAATAAACTTAATAAAGGATCACATCATATATATCCACAAATAAGCTAGACCATGATTAAACACATGGGGCAGACTCACCCTAAGCCATGGGGCGTAGACCCGTTGAAAAATTTTAGTATTATACATATATTAAAAAAATCTGAAAAAATAGAGATATCTCTACAAACAGTATTGATGACACTACTTGAATAACCAAGCGTCTTGGCTGATTTGCCATGCGCGGCCCTAGTTTGAGCCATAGTAAGTCAAAATTTACTTTTATACGCCACTGGCTCTAGTTTTGGATCCAATGGGAGGTGATAATGGTCTAGCCTATTTTGCTCACTCAAATTTTTGTCTCACATCAGGTTCCCTTTGTCACCCTAGAGGAGTATAATTTTGGGGCACATAGGTTGATTAAATTATGTTTGCGTATGAGTAGCTAACAAAATGTTGGGATGAGTGTAGTGACCATGAGTTGATATAGTCACACACACGGAGCTGATCCAGGTTTCGTTTTGGAAGAGTGGCGAAGCAACACTGGCATGTAAAGCCCTATTTGATTTCTCCTATTGCCAGGAGAGAGCCAGATTTTGAAACCCAGGTGCAAGAGTAATTTGTGAGCTCTTTAGCACCACCCTCTTGCTTGAGCCACATTTTAATAAAAGAGATGCAAATTAAAAAACACTTTCTCCGCTATTCCCGCTTCTATATATGGTATAAGTTTTTCTACATTCACAAGGGCACATAAGAATTTGTAAGGTACGAATTTACGCCTCTGAAAGAATAATGGAAAGCTGGAAACAAATGTCATTCTACAGCATCCTGACAAAACTCATTGCTACAAAATCACAACACTGGCTGAACAGACATGCGGTCCCTTGAACTGTCCTTCTAAGGCAGCAGAATCTTAGAATGAAAACAAAAAACAAACAATCAGTAATGTTAGGAGGAAAATACAAGAAAAGATCGCAAAGGAGAAACTGTTAGACACAGTAAGGCAATGGTTTAGAGAAGCCGAATATCCATTGCACTGGATCTTCTACCAGGTGAAGTATAGCCAAATTTTGGACTACCACTATGAAGGTTAGAGAGATGCAAAACACAACTATTATGATCTTTTGCTAGTCCTACCAGAAATTTTTTGTATAACATGGACTCAGGGCATTGCCAGATTAACATGCCTTTCTTTGTTTCATTGCAACAATCCCAAGAAAGTAGAACAAAGAATATGGAAGCATTTTAATCGAACAATATGCAAAACAATGTTGTTGAAGGCGCATTTGAGACAGGTTTAGACCCTAAAACTAGATGTTGTATGTTGGGCACTTCAATTAGCTTAGAGAACACTTTTGTGGGGGTACCAAGGCTTATGACATGCACCACAGCATTCATGCGCTCTATATTAAAGAGAACAGCACTAAACACTAACTCTAGCTGGTAAAGCAAAGCATTAACAGAAAAATAATGTTATCGTAGAACAAATTTAAGAGATTAGGAATATAAAATTAAAATTTTAGTATAAGAACATATATATACTACTAAAAAGTATATTGACAATATAATTATTGTGTTTGTTTTTCCTTGCATTATAATATATGTATATATTTGTGCCTTTGCAAAAAATCTTTAACTGCATTTTGTGCTGAAAACACCAATTTAAGTTTGACACTTGTTTCAGGCTAATTAAAATAATAATGTTTCACACACAGTCAGGAAGTAAAATGAGACATGAAGAGCCCTATCACATAGACATATTAAGAACTTTCTCCAGGAAAAAAACACATCGCATTAGGAGTGTATGCACAAATTCAACTCTCACCTTAAGGACGGATTACATACAACTGGAACCATCTGTCTTGGCTGAACCTAATGATGTGGTGTAAGAACTGCAAAAGCATCAAAGCAGAAAAGTATGAGAGACAGAAAGCGAAAATGGCAACATAAATAAACAAAAAATATACATCAAACAATTATGTTAACAAAAGCGTGAAAACAAGATGAAGAAGAATCACAGGCAACAGACCTAATTTGTTCAAAGATAACAGAAAGCAGACTATGGTGGGCCACAAGCAGACTAAGGTGGGCCACAACATGATGAAAATCTTAACCACTTGTAGCAACATTTGAAGCTCAAATGACACGAGGATGTCAAGAGTAGAGATGACTATTTGAGTCAGATACCCAAGAAAGCTTGATGAGAGAAAAAATTGCATAAAGCTTCCCACAAGGAAAAATAAACACAAAACGTTACATTTGTCTTACACAGATGTGCTATATGTTCTCTCCTCTCACTGGAGACGGGTGGGTATTGAGATGATTGTTTAAAATGTTACAATCTAAAGTCAATTATTTTACTATTTTGCAGGCGTAATATGATAGATGATGAAAATAAAGAACCATAAAAAGAAAAGACACGAATTTGGAATCAATGAAAGTGAAATTTAGCAACAAAAGGAAATTCAATTAATCACCAGCAACAAAACTAGGATTTCACACCAACCCAACCAATTGCTTTTAGGCTGACGGTTTTCCTTCAGTATTCGTACCATACTCTTCATCACCCTCATTTCCATTAACGAGTACTGCTCCATCAGTAGAGTCAGCATCCACCACAACAGCTTCTTCTTGGCCCTCTTGTTGAAGGTCATCTTCACCCCGTTCTTCTTGGCCCTCTTGTTGAAGGTCATCTTCACCCCGTTCTAGCACCTCATCACCATTCAGTTCTGCATCCTGAACCAGTTAAACCAAGGGAAACAATCACTATACTGATTACCTTTTGCCAAAGATAGGTTTAATATAAAATAATCAAACTATTAACTTTTTTTTATAAAAAGGGGAACAATTGTCAACTTCACATAAACCTAGCTAAGTAAAGAAGATTTTCTTTTACTTGTTATTTTAAGAATATAATCACATGTAAAGAAAACAAACTTTTATTGAGGAAAAAAAAAGAAAGCAATTCTCGTAACCAAAAAAATTAGAAACATGTCCATCTTATACCTCATGATCCAACACTCCGTTTTCATGTGGTTCTTCATCCATTCTCAAGTTGCTGAAAGCTTCTACAAGGTTAGTAGTTGGTCTATCAGCACAATTTCCATAATCAGCCGCTGGTGGATAGACACCCCTACATAAAATTAGGAAAGCAACCAAATTGGAACAAAT